CCTTCTAAGTCCTCCTTCTCTCCCTCGTATTCTTCTTTCTCTATTCCCCTCTTCAACTTGTTCAACCTCTCTCCCCACACCTTCTTCCACTCCTTGTACTCTTCTTTTGCTTCATTTAATTCGGCTTTAATTTCTTCGTGCGTTGTCATTTTTGATTTGTCATAGAACCGGTGTAAAATTAAATGTAGTTAGATTGCCTTATTTTTATAATATATTGTAAAAGTACGAAAATGGTTTGTAGGTTTATTATATACGTTTACAGCATAAGGTCAGATTATTTTAAGACGCGTCATTGATCAAAATAATTATTAAACAATTTCTCTCAGATATTTAGGAGAGTTTTTGAAAACTATTAAGATGCGTTAAAATTTCGATCAGATTTTTGGTTAAATTATAAGGCAAGACCAACCATAAAATTTTAACATAACAATATGCTGTCGGTTAAATAAGTTGAATGCGAACCATTAAAAGAATCATGTGACCGGAAAACGAGCATCATATCCTTAATAAAAAGTCTGATCACGGCCAAGTTCACATTATTTGTTTAGTAAACGAAATATTTAACTAATAATCCAATTCATATTAACCTTAATACATCGAATATGGAATTCTTTTCAAAATGATAGATTTTGTAATCTTTTATATATAAATTTATTAAATAAAAATATTTTATGACTTTTTTAATTAACAGCATTCATGTTTAATTCATTAATTAATGTTCCTTTTATCATAAAGATTTACTGGATGATGATATTGAAGAAGAAGCAGCGGACCCACTTGCCGTGCCAAGCGGATGACCACTTGGAGGTTCCAATTGCTGTGGAATGGATTGTGAAGTTACAGAAGTAATAGAATCTGAAAGAGTGTTATGTGACTCTTGATATTTCTGAAATCGAGATAATTGCTGTACGCAAGTTATAACAATAAAGATTAGATAATTTATTTAAAAATATGAAAGCATAATTTTAATCAAACCATAGACTTATATTGGTACCTTTGACCTATATACAGAACCGGACACATTACTCCCCAGAATTCCGAAGCCCTCCGATCCTGTTGGACTTCTGCTAAACATTTTCAATGGTTCACGGGTATCAACCATTCGAACAAATTGACCCACATCATCTTCTGGGTCAAGTGAAGCAAAGAAGGACTAACAATAAATCATACAATATAATGATTTAGCATTCAATGATATTAATTATATACTAGCGTTAGAATGTAT